GCCACAGCATATAATTCTGGTAGTGGTTCATATGGCAGTGGAGGTAATAAAACAGGAGGATATGGCGATCGTAGTAGTGATTATGGTGATTCCTCTGGTTATGGAGGTAATAAAAATCCGTATGGTGATAGTTATAGCTACAAGCCTCGAGAAAATGGTAGAGAAGGTGGATATAGCGGTCCTCCATCAAAAGAAGGCGGTTCTTATGACAGTTACGGAAGCCGTTCTGACGGTGGCTATAAGGGTTAGATTTCTTTTCCAAATTGCTTTTTATTACTTCAAGATCTCGTTTGCCTTCTCATTCTAGTTTACTATTATTATGCGGAATAAACATCCGTAATATTAGATAATTATGTGGATGATTCTGTTGTGCAAACAATTAGCGACACGATCTACATTTCGAATCTAAGCAAAGACGTTACTGAAGAGAAGTTGGCGGAAAAATTCGGTAGCCTTGGCATGTTAAAAATAGACAGAAAGACACAAAAGCCAAAAAGTAAGATTATTAAAATCAATATAAGATGTAAAGCTTTCAGTGTATAAACTAATAAATAAATAATAAATAAATTTATTTTTACAGTATGGATATATTATAATAAAGATACCGGACTTCCTAAGGGAGATGCAACTATAACTTATGAAGACGCCGACTCAACAGCAGCTGCTATCAAATATTTCGATAACCAAAAGTTCCTTGATCAGGTTCGAATATTAAATTTACTCCATAAAGAATTATATTAATAAATATAAGTAATTTGCTAATTTAATATATTTAAAAAATCTCTTAAGGTTATAAAAGTAGAGATGTCTGTGCGAAAGATATCAACCTCAGGATTTAGAGCTCGTGCTAGAGGAAGTAGAGGACGTATATTTACCAGGGGCAGTCGAGGTGGCCCTCCTCCCCGTGATGGTGATTGGGCATGTGAATCGTAAGCATTTGCATCCACTGTAGAAATCTATCTAACAAATTATTTAATGGTTTTTGACGGTTTTATTTCGGAAATTAGATGCAATGCAAATAATTTCGCTAGACGTATGGAATGTTACAAATGTCATACACCTCGTTCTAATGCACCAGGGGAAGGCGGTTACGGTGGAGGTCGATATTCTGGAGCACCTAGAGGTGGGTATAGAGGACGTCGTGGCGGCACTCCTTATGGTAGTGGTAGTGGTCGTTATGGTGATGACGATAGAGGCTATGGAGGCGGAGGCTATCGCAACAGCGATAGCTCACATGGTTATGATCAAGGATACGGGAGACAGAACAAACAAGACGATCGTCAAGATCGCAGGGATAATTCGAGATATCGTCCTTATTAAGATATCTGAGGATTTTTACAGGCTCACAACCTCATTATTGAATGCATGCTTTGTTTTTTTTTTTCTTTCTTTTACGAGTCATGAGAGTCGATCATGATTTTCATGACACGATGTTGATTATGGTGATTGAAATTCGTTGGGATCAAACATTCATATATTATTTGAGATAATGAGTAAAATTGAGAAGAGAAAAGGTCAAAAAAGGAAAATGTACAAAAATTCCTTTTGAAAAAATTTGTTTTATACGAGAACATAAATTGTGTATGGTTATATAATATTATTATATTAGGTAGGTATAAGATGGATTCTCAATTCCAAGGAGAATGTTCATAAAATATCAAGAAAAAATATAGGAAATTAATATCTATTAGCGTGAATGGTTAAAGAATTAGTTTCGGGTAGGTATTTAAGGTTATATAAATATAAAGGATCTCCTGGGGAAAAAAAAAACTTGCTATTTTTGATGTGTATAAAGAATTTTGAAAAAAAAAAAAAAAAAAAAAGAGGCACAAAAATTATATTTAAACGGAAGAAATCGATTATTTATTTAAGGATATTGGATTAAAAGTCATAACTTATATCACATCACATTGATGCACCCCTAAATGTCTTTTAAAAAGGTTATAATCGGTTATTTAAATGCATATGTACTCTCCAGATGAATGAAAGAATTAGATATATCTTCAAATCTGATATTGTATTATTTATCCATAAAATAAATATTTAGTTAATTTTACTCTGAGTCATATCTTGGAAAATTACCTAATTCGGAATGTGCTCAACAAACACGTTCAAAGTTATGTTAATGATCCGATCCATCCGATCTCGGTCCGGTTTTTATTGATCATGAAATATTCATTCATCGTGTTACAAATATTCGAAAAACCAACGCCTGGCTTTTCCTTTACTAGATGTAGTTGGTTATTGGCTCATTAAAATCTTTTTTTCACGTTCTTTCAAAATCTGCTCATCCTTCGTTCACTTAATGCTTAATTTTAAAGACTTGTCGCGAAGACCTCATGATAAGTTAGGATTATGGCGTACAGAATTACATCACAACTATACGAGAAAATTAAGCATTTCGCACGTTTCCCTCCAACGGGCGTGTCGTTGAGACAGATGGTCATGTTCGGTGCGCGTCAAATTTTTTTTGAATACTCCGTTTATCTTAAAACATTGTAAATCAAGTTCACTTATTCTTTATTCAGGTCAAAATCCTTCTCAAGGAACTTTGTTAAGAGCAACTCAATTTCTGGCAGGTAATGCATTTCGTTTATTTAATTATCGCGCTTGATTAATGTAAAACTTCGAATTGAAATGTTAACGTCTTTTAAATTTTCCTTTAAAGATGAATTACCAATTCGCATTGCACATCGTGTTAAGGAATTAGATAATTTACCACATAATTTGAGTGAAATGCCATCAATTATCAAAGTCAAAAATTGGTATGCTCAGTCTTTTGAGGTATGAAGTTTATAAGAATGGAGTACTTTGCGGATTGAACTTTTTTCACATAAACTTGTACCAATCATTAGGATCTAGTCAATTTTCCAAAACCCGAGCTTCCACCGATTATAAGGGAGAAACTTTCTGCAAATTCTGCTGAACAAACAAAGTTACCTGATAATGTGCCAAACTTTTCAATAAATTTGACCAATTCAGGAAAATTAAAACCTTCTGTACCAATTGGTCATAGGTATCTGATTTAATCTTGAAATATTGTTATCTTATTATGGTAATAACACACGAGTTCTAATTACGCGTATTTTTGATTGATTTTAGATATTATTCAAATATTGACGATCTAGATTGGCCGCCTGAAGTTCGTTATTATAACGAAAAATTTACAAAATTGATTGAAGCAATCAAACGACGTCATGATCCTGTTGTAACCACAGTGGTATGTGATTAATGTGGATTTATGCAAACGCTTTAAACGTTTTTACTCACACCCTAGTATTAACATTTTAGGGTAAGGCGCGTCCGCAAATTTTTTTTTTTTATTCATCTTTATATATAAAGATAATAAATATATATTTTTTCAATCAATATAAACTCATACATATTTGATTTCGTTATGAATTTAAGCTCAGGGAATTTTAGAATACAAGCAGCATAAGAAATCAGCCGTCATTGATACAGACATTCAAGCATTTTTAGATCGTTTTTATATGTCACGCATTGGGATTCGTATGCTAATTGGTTAGTATGCATAAATTTTTAAATTTCAAGAAACGGAATGTTTCATTATTATTATTTTTTTTTTTAACTGAGCGTAATTTGCTAAAATTGCAGACTATTTTTAGGTCAACACGTTGCGCTTAATCGTCTTCCATCAAGATCAGATTATGTAGGGATTATATGTACCAAAACTAACATTGCGCAAACTGTACAAGATGCGGCGGATAATGCCAGGTTCATCTGTGAAGAATATTATGGACTCTTTCGTGCACCTGAAATTCAGACATATTGTCCACATGATTTAATTTTTACTTACGTTCCCACACATTTGAGCCATATGTTATTTGAATTATTAAAAAATAGTTTGCGTGCCGTAGTAGAATTGTTTGGTGATGACGTAGACGAATATCCTCCAATTAGAGTAATTGTAGCCGAAGGAAAAGAGGATATCACAATCAAAATATCGGATGAGGGTGGCGGTATACCAAGAAGCAATATCCCTTTGGTATGGACTTACATGTACACGACAGCAGAAGTACAGAAATTGGATCCAGATTTCATCGATTCAGATTTCAAAGCTCCAATGGCAGGTTTTGGCTATGGACTACCCATTAGTAGACTGGTAATAATTATTATTATACATATTTTTTTTTTTTTTTGAAAGCAAATAAATTTTAAATCAATAAAACTTTTCAACAGTATGCTAGATATTTTGGTGGTGATTTGAAGTTAATTTCAATGGAAGGGTAAGGTTTTTTTATTTAAAAATATCAAATTTTTTTTTTTTTTTTTTGAAATTCATTTTACATTTATTTGACTTCTTTACATGATAGGTTTGGAACGGATGTATATCTTCATCTAAACCGAATCTCCAATAGTGATGAACCTCTTCATTAATAACATTGTGAACATGAAGATTGCGGACCTGAGTTTAATGCTAAGATAGAATAATATTAAAATATAGATCTCCTTTCTTAAGGATCGTTGACAACGAACAAAAGAAATTTGGTTCGTTTACGCGTGTTGTTAACACGTAATTCGTGCAATGTTACACGAAATAACTAAATTAATAATATATTTTATAATGTATGCGTGATTTCTCGATGATTGTATTTTTATAAATACTGATATCAACAATGGTGACATTAATTAAGCTCTCATTAAAAGTTTAGATTGTTTTCGCGTATACTACCACTAATCATATACTATAAAACCGCATGAACTATAATTAATTCGTTATATGCTATTAAATATATTACAATTTTTTTTTTTTTTTTAAAAAAAAAAAAAAAAGAAAAAAAAAAGTTTTTGCTTTTTAACAAATAGAAATGAATGTTGCAAAAGTATATATAACACATTATCATACTTGTAATGAATTGAATTGATCTAAAAAAAAATTAAAAATATAATATAAATTATAATAAAAATGTTCTTTCCATTTGAAGATCGCGCCAAATAAATAATTATTTAGATTTTTACACACATTATTTGATTTCAAATTAAGCTGTCATTCCAGATTTTTCTAATAAATTTCCACTTGCAATTTCATTAGATGAAGAAGTTAAAGAATGAATCGTTCTTGGCTCTAGAAATTGACCGTGATTCGTGTCCAGCCAACAACGTCCCTGACCCCAGTAACATGTACTAGAAAATAGTGCGAGAAGTAATATTGTACAATATACGCTTTATTTTTTTTTTTTTTTTACCACAATTGTACAATTATTTAGGTTAATTACATGTTAACTTAAAAAGGGTAACTTAAAAAGCATTAATTTAAATTCCTTACCATGGTCTTTGATGTAAGAAATATGATACTAGAAAGGTCAGAACAAAGAATGGTGGAGCATTAGGAAAAGGGAGTAATAATAAAGGAATAAACCAACGCATGCAATACATGGTTGATAAATGAATTGATAACTTCACAGGTAAAGTTTTTTTTTTTTTGCGATCTAATTATATTTCTTTAGCAGTAGTGAGTTGAATATCTATTGGTAAATTTACAATAAATATTAGCTTTCTAGTTTCAATCAAAGGTAATTCGGGATTTAGTATTTGCTGATCTGTTTTTATAATGTTCAACTTCCAAAAGATAATTTTCTTTTTTATTTCTTTTGATGAAAATCTAAGGTAAATGAATGAGAGAAAGCGTTGGTTTTCGAATATTTGTAACACGATGAATATATGAATATAACGGGATGTTTAACGATCTCAGGAAGACAGACGCGATCCAATCATATGATCGATCTCAATCTAAAGGATCGATCCATCACGTGATAAATCAACTAATTAAGATCCGGACTCAAGTAGCATAGCGGACATCTCGATCATTTATTCTGCTTTATTTTTGTTATTTAGCTCCGATCGGAATATCGTACTTAATAATATAAACTAAATATTTTATACATAGATTTTATCAAGCAACGAAATATCAAATTTTTATCATTATATTGAGTGACTTTTATTAGAAGTAATGTTTTGCAATACACAAAAAATTCTGCGCTAAAATTTTGCAGATATATGCATACTATCTTTAAGTACTAGAATAATAATTTTTTATATTTATTAAATAAAATTTGTCGTGTACAATTTTTATGTAAAATATACAGTATTATAGCAAATACTGAAGATTTACAAAACTTGAAATTTCTAGCATTGATTAATAGTATTTCAATCTATTTAAAATGAAAATATAATGAATAAATTTATTATATAGATTAAAAGTTAATTTATTTAACAAAATTCATTTTTTTAAAAAAAAAATTGTTGTAAATAGCAAATAGATAACTTTTGGTGGTTTCAAGAGAATTGTGATGGTTTCATTTCACCATACATTTCTAAATAGTTAATGAATATATAGTGAAAATTTCAGAGTTCGCCCACTTGATAGTATATGAAATTTGTGATTTATACCATTTAACACTATTTAATAGTTAATGTATTATAATAATATAATTTTTACCCAGTTTCGATAACATATGATAAAAACTAAAAATAGGAAAATATAATTCTCTTGTTTTGGACGCGAAAGGAATCTAAGTTTAAGTTATAATAATACCTAAAAAAAATTAAGTTCTTTTAAAGGCATTTAATAACAAATTTCTACCATAACGCTTGTTTAAAATCGTTCAGATTTCTGTTGAAGGTTATTGAGGTTTCCTTCCATGTGTCTAATGCCTGTCTAAAAATCGGTTTAAAATCGATCAAAAAGACCGTCTAATATACAATCTCGGATGGATAAAATAACTTTACGTGTTTATTTGTTCGTGGAACTTCACGTTGAACAATTCCGAATTAGATAATTTCCAAGAGATGAGACTGAGTAAACATGAATGGGCTATAATTAACTAAATCCTTATTATCAGATTGAAGATATATTTATTCTTTCATTCATTTGGAGTACGATTATAACCTTGTTAAAAGACGTTTTAGAAGTGCATCAATGTATGTAATACAAGTTATGAATAAATAAATAATCGATTCCATCTGTTTTATTATAATTTATGTACTTATTTTTTTTTTTTTTTTCAAAATCATTTAAAATTAAAAATAGCATCCCATAAGTAATATTACTCGAAACTAATTCTTTAACCATTCATGCAAATAGATATTTTTCCAAATTTATTGAAATGTGTGGCACATTATCAGGCAAAATTGCATTACATGCCAGAAATTGAGTTCTTTTAACAAGGTTCTTTGAGAAGGACTTTGACCTGTAATAAAGAAAACAGAGTTCAAAAAATTTGACTCGCATCGAACATGATATTTGCAACTTATCATGAAATGAACCTATAACTAGTAAAGCAAAAAAGTGCTCAGAGTTATGTTAATGCTGGCCAATTACTAAATATTGGTAGGTTCTATGAAATCGTTCGATATCACGTGAAATATAATTCCTACTAAACCCAAATGCCAATGATGGACAAGGAGG